ATCGCTAGAAAAATCAAAGAAAAAAATCAGTAAAGACCTTTTTTAAAGCTGTTTTAAAGCTGGCAATCTGTTAAAATAAAAAAAATTAAAGAATGGTTTTGAAACAGTTGGCACCATTTGTTTAATAAAATGGCTGCAGTTAGCATAAGCATTGCTTAACTCAGACCAGCAAATAAGTAAAAACCCCATCAATTTCTGTTTCAATAAAATACGAGTTCTCTGGATTTTGCCAGAGAGAAATAGACTGTGCCATTTGATAACATTCTTTACTGCATATTTCATTATTTCTCAACATCTCATAGGTACTCAAAAAATAGTTAGCTGCAAACCACATTTAATTCCCAAAACTGTGTGGTGAAAGCCAAGTAAACACATCACAAACTGGGCATCTGCTTACCCGAGACCAACACATGGCATTTATAATTTTGCCAGTTCCATTACTAACATATCCAAACAGCTGCCAAAGGTAGCAATCCAAAGACTTTCCAGGCAATGGGAGTGAACTGGCCTTTTTCAGAATCGAAACATTAAAATCACCTCATGGATGATACCAACAGAAAAACACAGTGCTAAGCTTACAAGGGTAAGTTGGGGGGTGGTAAATAATAAATGTTAAGGCAATAATACAGATGCTCAGAAGTAGAAATAAGAACTCTTATACACGTCGTCAGCTGTTATCAGCTGCTCTTGCCCAAGTGCATAATATATACTTTCAGTGACAAAACAGCTGGGTGCCACCAGCCCCTCTTCTCTCAGCAATCTAAATACTGAACTCTCTGGCAACCAATGCATCCTGTAAGGGCTGTTTGATCTATCAGGTGATTTTGGCTTTGTTATTATAATAACCAAAACTCAACCATTGACCAAGCCAGAGCACTTTCCCGAACATGCTCATGGTGCATTCTGTGATGTCAGGCAAGGTTCAGTAAGGGTAACAAAAACCCCAAGACTATCTGGGAAAACAGGAAAACATAATACAGACAGTAGAGACATTAAGGAATACGGTGTGGACACACCAATGTTGGTCTGCAATCCCCCAAGGTCCAAAATCATAATGCTGGCACTGCACTGAAATAAGCCTTGGTGTAATTCACTATGCTGGAGATTACAGGTCCACGTATTTCACACACAACTGTTTATGTCATAGAATCATAGAATAGTTGGGGTTGGAAAGGACCTTAAGATCATCTAGTTCCAACCCCCCTGCCATAAGCAGGGACACCACACACTAAACTATGTCGCCCAAGGCTCTGTCCAATATGGCCTTAAACTCCTCCAGGGTTGGAGCATTCACAACTTCCTTGGGCAACCCATTCCAGTGCCTCACCACCCGCACTGTGAAGAACTTCTTCCTTAGATCTAACCTAAAGTTCCCCTGTTTAAGTTTGAAGCCATTACCCCTTGTCCTACCACTACAGGCCCTAATGAAGAGTCCCTCCCCAGCATCCTTATAGGCCCCCTTCAAATATTGGAAGGCTGCTATGAGATCTCCACGCAGCTTCTCTTCTCCAGGCTGAACAGCCCCAACTTTCTCAGCCTGTCTTCATACGGGAGGTGCTCCAGCCCCGTTATCGTCCTCGTGGCCCTCCTCTGTCCTTCAGGTCCAGCACTAGATCTGAGGCAATGTGCCTAAGCACAACCTCTGGTGACACCATCCTGCTCAGGATGTCAATCCAGGAAAACCTTTGCTCAATCTCAACACTGCAGGAATGTTTCTGGACTCCAGCTAGTCCTGAAAACAGGCTACGTTCACTGCACCTAAGCTAATCAACCATACCTAACTAATAAATTAGCTAAAGCAGCTTGCTAGAAGTGACTATACATCTGTGGCCTAACTTACTAAACTAACCAGATAAAGACCCTGGTGGGGTGGCAGTGGTGGGGGAGGTCTCTAGACTGTAAGCAACATTTTAATATTTCAGATTTCATGCTTGATCAGATTAGCCATGGCTAAACTTGATCTGATCAAGTTCCTGCAGCTTTTTGTTCCTAGCCCTAGGAATATCAACAAAGTGTTCCTAATATAGTGCGACTACAAGGGAATTCAGATATTGCACCAACACAGTAAATATTCCACAAATACAATAACATATACTAATAAGTGGATACTGCAAGTCTGCATTAATACACTCAGGACTGTGAGGGATGTCATTACCTGAATGTAACTATGAAAAGAGAAAGACATGAGGTAAAATGGCTCCAGTGTAAAACTTAGCTGACTATGCTGACCCTTGGCACCAACTACTGATGTTGGCCTCTCCAAACCTCTAACTGAATGCTTATCAAAGCAAAAAAGAAAATACTGAACTTTGTTTTAAGTCCATACACTGCCCACTGGTCTGACCCTACAGACACGAAGGAGTAATGAAGCAGGCTGTCCATCAAGAAGGCACAAAAGTCTGTCTGGAGGTGATGGCACATTTTCGGAAAGCAGGGTTCGCTTTTACTGCCAGTGGGCACATTAAGTAGGTGGGAGAAGCCTTGGAGGCCAGGCTTTATTAATGTGTGAACAAAGATTAGCCTCCACGTCATCCCCACTGCATTCGAACAACCCATTTCTCTTGTTTTCCTTTGCGATTGCTAGCAGACAAAAACCAACTCATTCTCTCCTCTATAATTTGTCTTTTTTTGGGGGGGAGGGGGGAGGGGGGAGGGTGTGTCATATTTTCCACTCGAAAGAATCATATTCAAAATGTCACAGAATTTACAGACTAGCAATGCAACCTGGCAACAAAGGTATCTTGAAAAGGGAAAGGAGAAAGCATTTGAATTCGTGAGTATTTGACAGCTGAATAAGTCATGTCACTGAATTTTGCACCAAGCATAATTTCAGCTATCTCTTCTCATTTCACTGTATGTTTTAAAGACACGCCTGATAATGCATCAAACCAGCTTAAAATAAAAAGGGTTGTTTCGTTTGGGATTTTTTTAAAGACAATTTTAGTTCTAAAGTAACTTCTAATGAAAACCAGCAGTGGAGGCATTTTATTGTGGTACTTCTGTCAATGACTCCATAACAACTTTGACAAATAAGTACTCCTTATAAATATAAAATAGACCAAAGAGCTGTGAAAAAAATAAAACATATATTCAAACTTTACCCTTTGACTGCTGGTCAGAGACATTGTGTCTTCTACACACATGCTGCCTATATGGGATCAGAGTAAATCAAGTACATTTGACCTACCAAGCTTAACACGACTGTAAGTGTATCTCAAAGACAGGAATGCAGGACGTATGATGCTGCAGCCCTGACTGATAACTAAGAAGTAAGTTATAAATAAATCTGGAACAGTTGGGATTGACTGTTGTTTAGCACTTTCAGACAGACGTTCAGGGCAACTGGCAAGGGCTTTGAAAGCTGTTTCCTATATTAGAATCATGGCAAAAATAGACGTGAGGCTGCGTTCCCTTGTCTTCTGCTAAAATAGATCTTGCTTAAAAACATTTTTACATGTTTTGGCGAGGTGTAACTAGTTCACTGTCAGCTACAGACCTAGATCATAACTGGAAGTCCCATGTCGACCTACCATGAACAGTTACTTATTGAATTAATAAGAGAAAAAAAAAAGAAAAAAAAAAAAAAAAAAGGAAGTGGCGGGTACTAGGAGATATTAGGGACAAGAAGCAGCTGGGTTTACTGTTTTGGTTGGGTTTTTCCAACTTTTAAGTGAAGGTACAACCTGAATTCACTAGCCAGGAAGACCCTAAAGACCTTTAAAAATAAAACTAAAAGGGAAAATCATACATTTTACCAATTGTCCTTACGAATTTATGTGCGTTTTTTGAAGTTTGGGGTGTTTTGTTGCTGGTTTGGGGTTTCTTTTTGCTTCTTTTCTTTTTAAATTCAAGAACAGATTATGCATAATAACTACTCTCAGCAAGGCTGAGTTGTGAGAACAGAACAGGAAAGAGGCAGCATGGATGGGGTTTGTTCTGGTTTTGAGTGCCTCAAATACTGTTTGCAGGGCAAGCATTTGTCACAGTTATCTTGCCTCCAGCCCTTCAGCTTCCAGATAAATTAAGTTGGCTTTTATTTGTGTGGTTTTTATAGTCAAAATACATCTATCAAAATACTGTATTAGCTAGTTCACTAACTGAACAGCCAATTGTTCTGCCAAAATAAGCAGTGCCCTTAATGAACAATTTGGAGCTTTCAGGGTCAGTGAGAACAGAAAATCTTAATATATAGATCACAAATTCTGTATAACTTCATGTCACAGTTTCAGATTACAAGTGAACTCCCAAACTATATGCAAGATGCACATGTGACTGAGAATAGAACATCTATAGTGTACTACAAAATCATAGGGGAGACTAGGATACAGTAAGAACAATCTGATCTTGCATATATCAAGGTCTCGCAAACAGGTTTCCCATAAACTGTTCTTTCTCAACCAGAACCAGTCTGCATAGTGTTTTGCTGACAGATATGAAATTGCCCCACCTGTGCACACACTCTAAACCACCCTGGAACAAATCAGCTCCAACCTAGAAACTCTGTGATTGCGATACATGACGCCATCTCTCTCAGCAGAGCTCATTGCTGCAGTTCTGCTCCCGGTGAGCCCTGTTGCAGACCTTATGGTTCTGAGCAGGATCACAGCTTCTTGGGCCAGAGCATGTACAAGGTGGACTCATACTTCTCTACAAGATAACACGTACCCAACTTCCAACTACTATCTATAGTTTCTACAATATGCAAACTGCAACAGAATCTGCACTAGGAAATTTGTGTAACTTGCCTTCTAAAGTAAGCCTAGTGTAAGTTAAGGCAGGATTCAACGACTCCAGGCTTGCCGAAAAGTACGCACAAATGACCACATTTCAGTTACTGAATTCTGTTTTTTCCATCACTACAACTGCTGAAAACATGCTTATCAAAAGAGACAAAATTCATCATGAAGAGTCAAATCTTTTCTTTGTAATGGATTGCCACATTGCAGATGTCATTTCCTTTCACCAGAAGAGCCTGCATGAATGTATTTTAAACTAATTACCTTTAGGTGGAAAATATGACTTGCTTTCAGCTTTGTGAGGCCAGTCCACCACAAGAGGTCCAAACCTACGAAAGCTGGCAGTGATCTCATCTACAAAAAACAAATGAGGCACCTTAGAGAGAATCTGAAGACTGACAGTGGCAAGTAAAATTCTTACTTTCAAAAATCCCCAAAACCAAACAGACTACTTTCTACACCTATAAAGAAAAGTAAGAACTGCAGTAGTGCACATAGAGGATTGCCTAAATATTCTTTATGTACACATGGCTGCTTAAAAAAGTAATCTTACATTCCACTAATGCAAGTTTGCAGCAGGATTAAATGCAAACATGATCTATCAGAAGTGAATATGCTTCAGCTGCGATCTATTTCTAATTATAGCCACAAAGCAGGGTCAGATGCAGCCACATGGGACTGACAGAGGAGCTACATGTCAGCACGGCCACTCCTTGCAGCATGCCCTAGAAAGCAGGGTGCGTCAGGTCACATGACTGTGGGGACTTCACCTTCTTCATCCCCTCTGGAAATCTGCCTTGAATTACCAAGTTATTTTGTTGTTTTTTAAACATTAATTTAGAAACACTGAGGGACACACATCTCAAACTATCCTGTAGGGCAATTCTGTTCTACATGCAAATGTTTCGGAAAAAAGTATTTTACGTTCTTTTTTAAAATATCTTTTTCTCCTCGATGCATTTGTTTATGTACTTTAAAGAAAGAATTAGTTTAAAACTGTCTCTAACGTGATGCTAGATATAGATTAGAGCAACAATCTGAAGAGTTCGAAGACTAAGGCAGCAGTTTTCCAATTCTTTGCTTGCTGTTTGAGATGTGTCCAGTTTATCTGACCCCATGAGCTGCACATCAGATTTTCCAAGTGACTATGGCCACAAAACACACATTGCATAATGCAGGAGCTGAAGGAAAAAGGCGTTACTGGAGTAGACCTCTCATGGAAGAGGGTAACTGCTCCCAGGCAGCCACGTTACTTCCTCACGGGGTAGGATGGCCATGTATTTTTATTCTGAGTGACCCAGCAATGTTCACATCAATTGTGCCTGTCAGCCTCCTGCTTCTTACAGCTGGGGATCCAGATTACCCAGCAGTACCAGTACCAACAGTCCTGTAACTCGTGATGTGACACGGGAACTGCATTTGAGCTGTCTGTAAACCACAGACTGGCAACTCATACTATTTATGAAAATTGCATGTCACTTAGGCCTGAATTTAGTAGGTCAGATTTGGAGATCCCTCTCTCCATTATAAGGCCTCCTCAAATTCCCTATATATGTCAATTGAAGCCAGATAATGGTGGATTCCAGCTGTACTATGAAAAATACAACAAAACCTGTCATTTTGGTCTGGGAGTCAGGGTGGGTGGGGGCACACACAAATAGAGCAGATACTAATTGATATGGAGGAAAAAACTGATCGTGCCCACTAAGCTGGTTATTATTTTGTAACCATATTAATTACCCTACATTTGTCTACTGAACATTGCATAATTGCTGATATAAGAGTTGATTAAAACCTGCTTTATTTTGGTAAGGATTGTATTAACAAAGTCCTTAAAGTCAAACACATCTTTTATAAAGAACTGGGAAACACTACAGAGGAGTGACAGTAGCCACAAAGTTCCCTTTTTCAGCTTTCCCACTTTACATACATGGGAACACTTGCTGCTATTGCAGACCAAATGACCTGCTATGAAGGCATTTCTGTCTCTATCTCTTCTGATCTACAGCAGAAAAGAATGTCAGTTAAAATTCTGAGGTGTTGCAGGTGGTGGTGCTTGTTTGGTTTAAATAATGCCACGAGCACAACAAGTGACATACCTGGGAAAATACATTTGTTTTTAGGAAAATCAGACTTTTAAAAGTAACTGTATGAAAGCCACTTCCCACATGTCCCCAGCGTAACTTGTTCACAGTACCTTCATCAATGTCAGGAGGAAGACCTCCAACAAACACCTTTCTAGAATAGCGTTCCACTCTTTCACCATTCTGACAGCGTGTTGGAGAGCTGAGACCCGATGATAAAGACTGATCACCATGACTGTCATCTAGGAAGCCATCTTCAAAAGGAAATAGTGAAGACCGACCTGTAACAGATTTTGTAGTATCTACAGTTAACGCTGTTTCCTGGAGAATTAAATATTTCAGTAAAAATTGTTATTATTTTACTTTTACTGTTTTGCTTTAACAGAATTTACATAAAGGGGCCCAGCTAAGTGGTCTAGTTATCCACATGATGTTCATTAGTATTGCTTCTATTTTTCCAAGACTGTATTATTCTTACAAGCCAATAAACCTAATACAGCTTTAAAACAAACCCTTGCAAATGACTAGCAATGAAAACCAGCCAGTTATCTGATGTAACTGTGTGTCATAACTATGGAAACAATTTTTGTAAGATTTAAATTTCAAAATAATTCTTAGGGATTTAAATGTTCCATAACAGATCTTGAAGGAATGATCTTTTACGGCAGAACAGTTTCCTTCAGAGTGCTTTACAGGGTCCTAACCACAAGGGCTGCATCACTTCCTCCTTGAGTGAATAAAGAACCGATCTCAGTGGGGGGGGGAAACAACAAAATAAACATAGAAAAGCTTTGTGTTGTGGATATTAAACGTGTAGGTGGAGCAAGATGCTTATCTAACAAGAAAAAAAAAGAATCTTTAAAATCTTATTAAATAAATTGCATTTGAAGTAAAAAGTTGTTATCTAGGACAGCCTGTCAAGTGTTAAAACACCCTTTCAGTAATGAGTTAACAAAAAGCAACATAAATGGCTGCTACTCAGTTTGTTAATGAAAATTAATTTAACTTGTGATCATCTGATGCAATTAACTTGTTGCTTACTACCAAAGCACACACACATTACCTTAAGAACCAGAAGATTAAGAAATATTCAAAGTCTCTATATAAGCAACACTAGAACATGCCAGCTTCAGAATATAATAATTCCTTATAGCAGAGTTGAAAATTAAATCCTGCAATGTCGAGCGATGTCTGAATGGGAACCCCATCTCAGCCCTGAGAATGCCAATTGTCCCCTCATCACAGAGGATTGCTCTCAGGGATGGATAATAATTAATTGATACAAACAGTTTATAGGGGGGTTAATTACAAGTATGAATAGCAGGGCACATAATTTAATTCGAAGATAATGGATCACATGAAATTGACTGCCAGCAAGACCTAAGGAAGAATTAATGCCATACTCCTATCAACAGCACAGGAAGTACAGGAAATAAAAACAGGGGCAAGAAGAAAAATCAAAACATGCAAAGGGACAGTATTCAGAAAAATGTATACACTGAAAATATCAGTAATAGAGTCTCCAGTAGTAAAGGACATTACAAAAGGCAGCAGCAATCCAACATACGGAAATGAAGCTAACAAACAAAAATCAGCAAAGATGTTCTGACTGACACAGAACATCAGCCTGATTTTTAATGAGCATCAAGCACTACAAAAGTCTTGATTAGAAAGAGTATATAAAATGTACAACATTGAGAGAGATCTCAGATACAAAACTCCACCAAAGCAAAAATCCTACTGTGCTTTTAAGCACCAACATTAAAAAAGGGTAAATGCCACAATCAGAGAAGGATCTAGAGAGGCTACACTTTAAAGTCTAGTATAACTGGTTGTCAAAAATGGTGGGGTTAGAGCATGAAACAGGGAAGATTATTGATGAATATCCCATTAATGGACAAAGAGGTCATGCACATATATAAACATAAGCATTTCAGCTTAAAAGAGAACACATGCATGAGAGAAATAATAATTAGGACTGCTAAGATTGTGTAAAAATATCGAAGCAGAAAACCCACTGAAAAGTAAGAAATGAGAAAATATCCATAGAAGACTGACATTACTAAGAAGCCAAATAATCTTTTAATTCCCACCCACCCCCCAACCTACCTTCCTGTAAAAAATAAACAGCATGAGCCATTAGTGGAAGTTGACATATGAAATTAATAGACGCTAGAATGAGGTGTTCAGCTAAAACACAAGTGTACAGAGAAGGCTGAACAAGTGCTGAGTTCTGAAGGAAATAATAAAAATGCACAGCAGCTTAAAAAGCAAAATTTCTCCTCTTATGCCACATGATTGACAGTCTGCAAGCACTGTACTCAAGTAAATGCAAAAGATGAGCTAAAAATTTATAGTTAAGTATACATGTACAACATAGAGACAAGGGAATAGGGAATAATTGTTCACTGTCTCTTCCAGTAAGGGGAAAATAAAATGCATTGAACACAATCAGCATGTGGCAAGGCTGAAAGCAAGTCAAGCTGTGGAACCCCCTGCCACAGGCTGCTTAGGATGCTGGAAAGTTTACGTAGGTTCAGAAAAGGGAATGAGCAAGAACATGAGAAAAACCTATTCTGAAGCAATTAATATTGAGACATCACCTCAAGAAACCCTCAGAGGCAAATCTCTGGGACAGTATTATGGGAAAACCACTAGATGTCTTATGTTTAGTCCTGTGCCCTTGCCAGTGCAGCAGAATATAGCTTGTGCTGATTTTCCACAGCTGTGCTGATACCTATACCTGAAAAACTGGTTGTAAAAGTTAAAAACCAGGTACCTAAAGCAACATGACTCAACAGCTCTAACCATGACACCTACAAGGAAATGCTCACCTCTACTCGAAGAAAACTGGGGATCAAGCAAAGAACTGATTGGTTATGGCAAGCCCCAAGAAATTTCTGACAAAACCTTCCCACTGAAGATGCTTAGTCACAGAATCAAATGCTAATTACAATATCCATATATAATAAACATGAAACAAGTTCCTGCACAGATTTGCCTCTGGGTACTCTGCATATTACAGCAATGCAAATGGCAAAAAACAATAGTAGAGAGGGATAAATGAGAATATTTGATATACAACACCATGTTTTTAATAGACTGTTACAGAATTTCGTGTTTCTTAATGTTAAGAAAGCTCAAAACAACATTGTAAAATTCAAGGTAATGAGAAAGCATGAGTATCACAGACTTTGGTATTGTATGAAGAAGGGAAGTCACGAAACCCCTAACATTAATGACAAGACATACGTGCGCGCACACAAAAATCTACTTGTCACTACAGAAAAGTCTGGCTTTCACACAGGAAACTATTATTATGGAGTGACACATGCTTTTTGGTAGAGAGAAAAAAAAATAAAAAAAATCTGAAAGCCCAGCACATTCAGAACTTGTTTGCCCTGTTTTGTCAGCACTATAGTTTTTATAAAACAGCCTACACTGTATTCATCACAGTTACTGCCACATTACTGTATTTCACTTCTATAAGTAAACATGAACTGCAAGCAGGTTATAATGTCCAACTGATTCCCACCTCCTTCCCTACTTTGGTGCCATTTGATCAACCTGGAAAGACTTGCCACAGCCTTAAAATGAAATTAAACTGTTTACATGCACAGGGAGTATACAATATTATACACTCCGCATACTTACCAATTTGTTTCAGTACCATAAGACCACTGAAAAAGTATGATTTTTAGGATGCTTTCAACATCCGTTGACAATAGCCTGTTCTATGTTCTATAGCTATGTTCATTGGAAGCAGGGAAAAATAGGAAGTTTGTGGGGAAAACCTGAATATTTTCTTTTTGTTTAGCTGTCAAATAAACACTAAAACCAGCTTTGACTAAAATCACCTCAAATTCTGTATTATAAACTGTGCTAGTGTAGCCTTTATGGCCTACTACCTCAATCCATACAGATGTGCAAACTACAAGTTACTTGCATGCTATTGGCTTGCTTGTATGGCTAGGTTTGTATCCAGGTTTCTTCACAAACCTGATGCAAATTGTACATTCTTAAAAGACAGGGATGTCACATGCACAGCTGTCACAGAACATACATGAAAAAAGACGATAAAATGAAGTTTAATGCCAAAGTACCCCAGACAGACGGCACTGCCCAACTCTAAATGTTAGAAGCTGCAATTATCACTGTTAGTTTCTCAATTAAAAATCAGCTTGTGTAACCTATGGCATATAAATGCTACATTAGTAGCTTTCTTATAGTCAGCAAGCTTCCTATTGTCCATGTTCATTAATCTCTCAGAATAAACTTCCATGCAGCCCTGAACATTTGGTAATGTTCTCAGTCTGCTTTTATTTTTTAAGGCTTGTCTATGACAAAATAAAGTTAAAATATGCTCAAATGTTCTATCTTTTATCATAATCATCAACATTCACTCTTGAGGACAGTTACTAGTATTGGTATTCACAATGTTGTATCCAAGGCTAATTCTACCTCCAATGTAATACTCAAGTGTAACAGTCACTTAAAGATGTTACATCTAAGAAGAGAAGTATTTTTTAAATGGTCAATGCACTAATTAAACATTGCATTTACACCAAAAAAAACCCCACAGCTGAAAATAACGTCTTTTTTGACCACTACACATTTAAAGTAACTTGTATCATGAAAGAGTCTTTATATTCAGTCATACTCCAGTTCACTAGTAATAGCAACACACTTGAAGTTACCAGCTCAAGATCACCATTGCTTTTAGCTGCTATTAAAAGGGAGATTTTTTGCAAATGAAAAACATGAGATTGATTTATACAATGCAATTGATCAAATAATGTTAAAATCAGTAACATCATCATAAAGAGAACTAAATATTTATTTCTCCCACTATTCAGCAAACAAAACATTTAGTAAATACTTTTACCTCTTCTCCGCCCATAGCTCCTGGCTGCATGTAAACACAGAAGAAAATTGTCGGTACAGCTGTCATTAGATTTAGCTCCAAAAGCAAAGAAAATGTAGCTTCTACCTCTTCTCTTTTTCCCCTCCCACCATAAAGAAAGAAAAGACATTCAAAAAGTGCAAGGTGAAATTCAAACAACCCAAGACAAGAGAAAAAGTCTGAAGATGACACAGCCAGGGGGAGGAAAAAAAAGGAAAAAATAAAAAAGGAACATACCTGCTGTGCAAGTTTTCTAAATAGCAAAGGTATTTAAAAAATCAGGCATATCAGTCTTACAGCACTATAAGATAATAATTTAGGATTATGGTTTTAAGAGGCAATAAACATAATCAACAGTAATCCTAATTAAAAGATTTC